AACCTCCATGGTACCGTATACTAAGATTAAACCCATTTTGTTTTATACGAGAACAGGTACTTTCTTTAGTTCATGCACTGCACATGCGATTCTCGAGAATACTCGAAACCAAAAGTTGCGGGAAACTTGCTTGCTTTGCCTTTCTAAAAGGCAATCAAATTGGAGCAGCGAAAATTGGCTCTATGCCAGCAGACACTCACGTGATAGGCAATTCGTCAAAAAAGTTATCTCTTCCGACGTCGGCGCAAAAATCGCTTTTTTTGGCGGGATCATTGTATGAACTTCCCTGACTTTTCCAGATTTTGACAAAAATACTTAAATTCCCTGACTTTTCCCTGAATTTTTTGGTCAATTTTAAAATTCCCTGACTTTTCCCGGTTTTCCAGGTAGCGTGGCAACCCAGTAGCAACATAGTCAGTTACATTCAGGTTTTTTTAAAATCTTTCCAAACTGAAACATCAGAAAAAAATTAATTATAAAATATTTTATTTAATATAATTAACTACATTCCTTAATAAATTTTAGTCATTACAGAGGATGTCAACACATTTTTAGAATGATTCTGAGGCCATTTAAATGAATATTTAAAATGCAAATATTTATTACTTAATCACTTCATTCTAGTTTATAAGTATTTCTAAAGAGGTTATCACATGTAGCGACAGCCCCTGCTCGACGGGACTTTTCTGAGAACTGAGATTCTGGTAGCATTGGTTTAAATGGGAGGATTCCTAGAAAAGAGAGCCCTGCTGGAAGCGAAGTCCCGCCTAGCTATGGAGAAATGATGTTGCGACTAGGCGGGATTTTTTCAAACTTCGCCGAAAATGTCTCGGCTGGAGCTCTGTCCTGCATACAGATCAACCAGTCAGACGAAGGTTTTGCTTCTGAAGGATCACATGATCCCAGTCTGAGCAATAATCGATTGCTGTTTGGTGTTCAAGTCTTGGTAGTAAGTGAAAACGGTAACCTAGCATACTTGGGTTTCCTGGAAATGTGCGGGTTCTGAGAATTGCCCCTTTCGACATCAAGTCCAGCATAGCTAAAAGATAACGTGATTGGGACCTAAGTGTTTCTATTTTTTTTTAAATTGCTGATGCTTTTTTAAATTGATGATTGCATCAATTATAGTAGTTTTACATTAAAATATTTTTCTTTTCAGTGTGCCTAAACAATAGTAAATTCATAGATGAAATCCAGAGAACTTTGGAGGAATATGTTGAAAAGGAACATATGCAACACCAAGTAACAGTTTTCATTTCTTTAAGGAATGATGTATTAGCTTTTATAGTATGACTGGTGAATTGGCTTTTGTGGAATTTTACTCTCTAAAAGCTGCTGAGATAAAAAAATGGAATTATATTATTACAAAATGTCCACCACATGATAAGATAGCTTCCCCGCGAAGCAGGTTTAGGGTTGCCAGAAAATGGCAAGAGAAGGCAGGGTTGCCAGATATGGCATTAAATCATGAATAGTGAAGCAAAAGATGATTAAAAGCGACATCCTGGATTTTAGAGAGAAAATTGGAGCCAAAATAAAAAGATGTGAAAATCAAAATAGTGGTGTCTGAAGAATCAAAGGATGAAGAAATGAAGTAAGTAGCTGGTGAAGTGTCCAAGAAAGATTAAGAAATAAAGGATGAAACATTTAACAAGATTGAAGAAAGAGAACAAAATGATGAAGAAAAAGATGGGAAAGAAGCTTTAATTCTCAAGTGCCTGAAGTAGAAGTGGAAGAAAGTGAAAATGCGACAGTTAACATTTGTAGAAACTGATAGTGAAGTTATGTTGATAGTGAAGTAAAGTTGCAATTAGCAAGTATTGACCATCTGAAAATTCATGTGAGGCAAAGATGGGAGACGCTGATGTACAGCTTAAGCAGAGCATTCCAGTATTACAGGAAGATACATACACTTCACAAACTGTGTGTTTCATTATACAAGTTGTACAGACATAAACTGGATTCTAAACCAAGATACTTCTGTCTGTATAAAGGATAGGATATTATTCATAACTTTGATGCTAACACAGGAACTGGTTTTCAGGAAATAGAGGATAAGCATGTACTTACTGCTAAAAATACTGAGGTTAACTGTACACATGATGTGAATAAACTACAGAGTGGTGAGCAAACTGTTTCAGATTTTCCTACGGATAAAAAGTCTGAAAGAACTGAATCTTGAGACTGTGATATGCCAAACAGAAATACATCTGAGAACTGCAGTGAAAGAATATTTGACCCAGGTATAACTTAATGAAAATCAGAAGACTGAAATTTATTCCAAACTTTAATTTATAATTTCAAATTGCTATGTGATTAATTTGTGTATGTAACTTGTACATAGTGTAAATATTTGTTACTCTAGTTATGTTATTTGTTTGTTTTAGTAAATTTTGTTTGTATTGAATTTGGCTTCTGAATAGGGATAAACTGCTCAGAATGTGCAGTCCTTGGAAGGGGGCAGTGTTACAAAATGTCTAACATGCGATAAGATAGCTTCCTAGCTAAGCAAGTTTAGGGTTGCCAGATCTAGCATGAAATCACCAACAAGATAATATAGTGGTAGAGAGCGTATTGCAACCTTCAACCGGTTCCAACATTAGTGTCACGAGACTGCTGCGCGAATTCCGAAAGTCCGGAAATACTTTACATTGCTTTCTATGGGACGAAAGACTGCTGCTCTGCTTGGTCACATAAAATTTAAGTAAAAATGGTTATTCGCTGCAGCGCCTACGGATGTAAAGAAAGTTTCGTGAAAGGAGGACCTATAACCTTTCATAGGTAAGTTAAAACTGCATGATTTATTATTTTATTTTCAGTATTTTTGTCGTTTTACTATCTCTGTTGAATTGGTTGGAAAATTTCAGCCATATAGTATAAGAAAATTGCCGCCGTATATGACATTTTCAGCATGTATTATTAGCATCAAAATGTATTAAATACTGTGACACTATTTACTGGAATCACCCTTTACAAATAATTGAATTTTATATGTTTTTTCCATGTATTCCGTTGAAATAGAAAGCTGCGCCAATTGGCGTTAACTTTTTTTTCACCAAGTCGTACGCATTTTGATTTCATAAACAATTACTGCCTGCGATAAAAAAAGAAAAATGCTGTTATTAGCATTAAATTATTGAGAAAAGATTGTGCGATATGTTTACTTTGTTAAAAAAAAAAGCTGAAGATCTTGATTCATGCAACATTGAACATAAACAGTTAAACAGCATTATTTTAAAAATCAGATTACTTTTATAAAGCTCAATGCTGTATCATTATTTTCTATAAAATCAATTAAAATAAAAATAATCTGGATTATAATTCTGTCTCATCTACGATGCTGTTAGAAATTTATTGTAATTGAAAAAAATGTGATGTGAAAAAAAAAAAAAAAAAAAAAAAAAAAAAAAAAAAAAAAGAGGTGAGAGAATTTTTAACTGTAATATCGTTTTGATCCTAATAATACTGAGTTGAAGTTTGTTACCGTTTGATACATATTCAATATAAAATATTTGTTATAGTTAATGAGATGTATTCATCCCCCCATGTGGACACATGAGTGTGGAAATCAGTAATTAAGATTGCCAACCAACACCAAACTTTTAAATATGAGCAGGACATGCTTTTCAAATGAAAAGCTTTATTTCTTCATCAGATGCAAGTTGGATCCTTTGCAGCTGGTGAAGAGCGAAAACTTTTTATTCAAAATGTGCGTCCTGCTCACGTTTAAAAGATTAGTGTTCATACAAAGTAGTATATTTTTGTTTTACTTAATTTTTGAGTGTTTATTTGTAATTAAGCCACTTACTTTATAGTAAATACTATATTTAAATGCACATTTTCATAATGTGTTTATTTAATTGTGATATAGGAATAAAATAGAATATGTATTGTCATGTTTGAATTTATAATTCAGAAAGAAAATTTTATTTTGTAAATGTACATTTTACAGCTGATCTGCAAAATATGAAATCTTACTAAATTTAATGTACAGTTAAGGCAGTAGCTTCCAAGTTTGCTTGAAATTATTTTCTGGACATTGTTGAATTTATAAGCACTTTAATATGCAAGTAACTTAATAAAATGGGCATAATCAATTACTTAATAAAGATCTTTTTAAAAATAAAAAATTCTTTACTATCGTACATTTCCATAATGCAAGTACTATTGCTAACACCGAGAGGACAAAAGTAAATGAAATTCTTCCAAAAACTATTTCTGACTTAACAAACCTAAATATACGAAAGTAAAATATTTTTCTTTAATATTTTACTTTCATATATTTAAGTAAACATAATTTTAATTAATTAATTCAGTATAATTTATCTTTTTGTATCATAAACTATATTAAGTTTGGATAGTAACGGTTTATAGTTCCAGCTGAAAGTCAACAGTCTGTAAGTATATATTTCATCAATGGCATAAATACATATAATACAATGTGATTTTCTTTTTCTCTTTAGGATGCAATGCATTAAAATTAAACGAGATTTTTTTACCTTCTCAAATATTATAAACAGTAGTGCAATTAATTTTTTAACGTTATTCAAAATTAAAGTTTCCATCTCAATTTTTTATTATTTATTTAAGATTTTCTTCCTAAAATTATTTAACCTAAACATCTTAAACAATGGTGCAAATAATTTAAAGCGATTATTAAAAATATAGATAAAATATTCAGGAAAAAAGGGGTTAAGTTATATCTAAATATAATTGTAAAAAATCGAAAAACCTAATTCGAGGTCGTTGTCTGCTGACTGCTAGGAGACGGAAATAAAAAGCACTACCTGCCATATCAAAAGCGGGCCAAACTGGCGATGAACAGCCTACGCTATCACTCCCCAAGAGCGCCAAGAGCTTTAGTCACGTGGTATATGTTGGAGACACCCTAGCAGACGAATTCTCTGTGGGTGAGCCGTCTACCTGTTATATGAAGTCATTGGAAATCACCCATTTGGCGACAAAATTGGACATATATGCCAAGACAACTGAAGAGCCTACTAGAATGAATACCTACCGGGTTGCTCCCCAATGTTCTCGAAGGCAGGCCAAAAACTATATAAATCCTGCTGGTATGTGGAGAGGGTGTATCTCACTTAGTCTATCAAGCTGATCCTCAGTCTAAAGAGTCAAGTTGGTTGTCCAGTGTTTCGCAAGTTAGTGCATCACGAGAGTGTCTCATCAGTTTATCACGAGTGTGCAACATTGAGGCAATCGAGTGTGTTGAGTGCATCACGAGTTGTAGCATGGAGAGTCTCAAGAGTACATCAAGTTCCGGGAATGACGAACAGTGTTGGGAGCTGTACTCTAGTGCTTTGACATGAAGCTGTCTTCACCCTGATAGCCTGTACGCTGTGTTGATGATTGTTTCAGCGTGTTTGTCATAGTTTTTTGACAACTGTAAACAGAAGCTTCAAACATAAAGCTTAGACACTGATCAAAGTTATAAAATTATTGTATTAATTTACTTCAGCTGATATTTTTAGCAAAAAAAGTATCTGGAAATTATTTCATCAATAATGATGAAATGAGAAAGAAGACATGAGATAAACTCTCTAAAACAAGGTTCAAAATAATTGAACATAGAATTGCACAAAAGTGCTTTTTTGGGGGGTGAAATTATACCCTTTAATATTTATATCCATTAGAAGATGATTATGTAAATTTTCCAACAATGAAAGAATACATGAAGCAGTTTTATTTACCTGAAGTTGCAAAACACTTGTCACTTCTGATGAATATTTGACCCTCTTCTAAAGAAGATTCAGTTGAAACCTTATAATAAAAGAACACAGCTATACATACATATGTACAAACACATATTTACAAGACAAGTTATACATACATATGTACGAAGACATATTCACAAAGGAAGTTAGACTTGGTAAAACTACAACATTCAATGCTTTATGGCGATACTCCATTAAAAAATTCACATTTAAATCTAGTTTATACCTGATTCATGCAATAATTAAACAAAAAATCTATTGTAAATATTTCAGCGTTATCTAAACAAATATTAATGGTCCAATTTTTCTATCTTCACTAATGTTTCAGTATGTCTTATGGGCAGACAGACAACATATACTGCTCTATCAAGCACAGTTGATAAATTTCATACACAATATGAAAAGGTAATTGTATAACAACATTGACACTCTCTTAATGCTGAAAATTGGTTGTACACTATTAATACATGGTCTAACGTTGATACATTTACCCTATGAAAGATGAATGAAAACTTATCAGTTAGCCTCCATGTTACTTGAAAGATGTTAAACAGAGCTTTATCTTCTTTGAAATAATGGGACAGACTAACAGCAATACTTATTTTCGCTGACCAAAAGAAATCTAATTGGAACTTTTGTTAATGCAAAATGATGAAAAGCAATATAAAATTTAGTGTTTGTTTTACGCAAAGACTATACAAAGAGAATAACTGTAAAGGGAAAGAGCAAATAAGTTTAAGTAGTAGTGCACGATGCTTTCAGTACATACAAATAACTGCATAACAGAAAAACAAGACTGCAGCTACACAGTTAAATATATTTTGTACTTTAAGGCTTCTATCTTAAACATACAAATGAAAAGTCTAAAATGTAAATGTTGAGGTGTACAGATAGTCAACTGAACTTTGATACGTAAAAAATAGAATCATTTCCTGCATCACTGTATTTCCTTATAACTATCTTGAATCCTTTTCTTTGAAACCTGCACAATTTCAGTCTTTTGATGTAATAAATTTAAACCAAATATAAATATAAAACTATAGTGTCATCTCTAATAATTCTTATTATTTTAATTGCAAAATATATTGGACTTCTATTGGAACTTAAAATTAAAAAAAAAAAAAAAAAAAAAAAAAAAAAAAAAAAAAAAAACACTAGAAAATCATAGTTTACCACAATAGATGCTACTCCTATTCTCAGATTTTGAAACACATTAGTAGAAATATTTAAGGAATACTTTCTGTACTGTTGCTTTCATCACATAGATTTACTGCATCATCATCAAGTTTTTGATTAAGTTAAAGAAGCCCCACAGTTTTTTAGAGCTTGGCAGCGGATGGAGTAACAAATTCGATTTTGCAGTCTGTGCTTACATGGATTGCATTAAGAACTGATGGTTTGATTGTTTTTATTCATCTGAAACGTATAAAATTCTTAGCATATGTGTGACTGAAATACTTCAGAAATGGGTAAGTCAAATTTAAAACTTAAAATTTTGTTCTACATCACAATATGAATTAACTACTGTATCTTTGATGGTAATGTATACAATTGGTTGATAAATCTATTGAAAACTTTGAGAATGCGTCAAATCTTTTAAAACTAAACAAACTACAAAATCTAGTTTTTACGGTGATCTTTTAACTGGAAAAGCAAAATTATTCATTGAAAGTGAAACAAAAGTAAATTCGCAGAATGCACTTTGGGATTTACTATTAAATGGATGTGGTAATCAACTCTGCTCGGTTAAAGAAAAGAAGGGAGAATACTTTCTAGTAATTAAAAATTTGTGTTCTAAATATAGTACTGAAAATGCTGCTTTACTAGAATGTTATTAATGGTATAAATGATACTGCACAAAATAAATCTTTATGGTTGTAAATCTTTAGCAGAATTTGAAGAAAAGCTTAAGATGTAAAAAAAGCTAAATTGAATAATAATAATTGTAAATCTGTTAAGCTTACTTCTAAAAGCAACATTACGCCTAATTCTGCTATGGCTAATGATGATAAAATAAAGACACTGAAGTTAATGAAACAACTGCAATTGTCACCAGGTTAAGCATCAATACTCCTCTTTTTCGGAAACCAGAACCAAAAATATAATTCCTCCAACTCAAAGTACAATTTAGAAATGCAAAAATAACCGTTGACCAAACAAAGTATTATAATGTGATAAGTTCCATCGAGCCTGATATTTGCTTAGTCTATAAGGTATTTCTCCCGCTTTCTTAGCATGCCTTCGTGGTGTAGTGGTCAGTAGGCCCAACACATATTCGAGAAGCTGGTGGTTCAAAATCCGGCGAAGGTGTTGCTCATTTTTCTTCTTTCCTGCTTCGAAATAACCTAATGTCTCTACAAGTCTACCTGAAGATGGTACATATCAAACAATTAAGGGCAGATTAATTTCATTATATGAAGACTCGAAGACTAAAAAAACTCAAAAATTACAGACTGAACTAGAAATCAGTGACCAAAACCATTTCAACTGCTGTGTGAAATGTGTCATTTGGCAGGCTCCAATGTAGCAGATACCTTCATAAAAACATTGTGGCTCTAGCCTCTATCGGTAGCATTATCTCTGAGGTGAAGATTTGTTGAAGATGTCGACAATGGCTGATAAAATTTTGGAATTAAATCCTAATTTTTACGAAACAGTCACTCTTTTGTCCACAATTGTAAATAAAGGACTCCCTGAAAGCTTACAAAAACAGATCAATGAACTTAGGTTATAAGTTTCTATTTTATTCAGACAACGGCGCAGCTGCCCTATCATCGTACTCAATCCAAATCAAGAACCATTCAGTGATATCTGTTACTATCACAAAACATTCGGTGACAGGTCATTTAAGTGCAAACAACCATGTAGCTTCTCATCATGATCACAAACACCTCGGAAAACAAGGTCCCCATCTCATTGACGATAGAGGGACAAGGGGGGAGCTGAGTTGTCCCGACAAAGAATCAAAGGGCTGTCAGCGATAAAGAATCAGCCACCCAGGTTTTAATAGGTACAGAGGCAGAACTACCTATTATTCCTCCATTACCTGCAGATAAAAGAATCATCTCAAAATTAGAACTGTTTGCTGCAAATCTGTTCCTTTACTTCATTTTGGTTTAGCAAAAGACTTAACAGAAAGGAACATTTTTCATATAATAGGAGAAACCTGAATATTTGCTATGTGTAAGTAAATTAATTTTAATCAATTTTAATCATGTAAGGCAAATAATGGTTAACTGAAGTATGATAATTTACTATGTATGAGTAAATTAGTTTGAATCATGTAAAGTAATTTGACAGATTAATCATAAATGGTGCGAAATAAGCACAGGCTACATATGAGAAATACAAATACAATTTTATAGCTTTTTACCTTTGAATTAAATGTCCATAAGTTTGGAGTTCTTGCATCCCATTTTGTTTTAACTGTATGAATATTACTAAGAACCTGTTAGTAAAGTTAAAAAGACTTAGTCTATTGGGCAAGGAAATAATAGCATTAAAAATGATTAAAGCATACACAAATCAAAAATAATATAATAAAAATTAAGCAAACCCTTAGAAGTGGCGAGCGAAATGGGATGACCCCATTGCTGAATTCCACACCCTCTGGATGTTGGAAAATGTGGTGCATAGAAGTGAGCATTCTGGAGGTTGACTCTGCAGCAAGTCCCCCTGATCGGGGCTGTTACCCAGAGCCGGTGTGAGACCCATAGCTGCTAGGTCTGCTTCGGATGCGATTTCCTAGGAGTTGGGTTGCTTGGGAGGTTGCACTCCCAAGTAACTCGAGTGCAACATGTTATGTAATGTTGCACTGCCAAGCACTTGGGAGTGCAACATTTCTGATTATAAATTTGGACTTTTTATCTTCTAATAAAGACAACACATACAGAATCCCTTTTAAGTTTTTTGATATAATGAACTGAACCAAATAAAAATATTAAAGTATGGGTCATCTCTAATAATTCTTACTATTTTCATTATGAAATATACTGGTTATCTATTGGAGCTCAAAATTCAAAAAGGACATAACAGAAAATCATAGGTTATACCTGCAATTCCAGATTTCAGATTTTGAAACACATTAGTTGAAATATTTAAAGAAGGGTGGAAAATTAAGCATGCTTTCATGCATTATTTTAAATGCAGTGTTGACTGGATTAATTGAGAGATTTGAGTTTAACAGTTGCAGTTTGAAAATGGCAGAGACTACATGTATGCTTACAAGCCGGAAGTTGTAATTACATCTCCTTAAAATAAATATAGTACTGCTTCTTAGACACACACAGGATTTTTTTTTCTGTGTTTCTGTGGTTTGTGCCCTGTTTGTTATAGTATAAACATGGCATCCTCTAAATGATATTGATACTCTCTTCAAACACAGCATTGGGTTGAAATGCGACCATAAAGACATATGTAGAAGCAGCTTGATGGTTGCGACTTAAGAAGATGCAAAGAGAAAATGGGTTTTGTAATGTGCACCAATATCAATTTATTTTAAGTATATAAATGTATGGGAAAAAATTAATTTTAAGCCAAAATTACTATGGACTTAATTATTTACCAGAAAATAACTGTGAAGCCTTTTTGTATTTATTAATAATCTAGTAGGTTCAGTCAATTTAAAGCCATAATTAAATCTTTATTCTTCACTTCTGAATTTACCCATGCCATATATACATGCAAATGTCATGATTATATTATTGTAATCAGTTTATTCTTCAATTCTGTGCCAGTTTCTGCCCATATCTACTTGACATAAGCTTCCATAGTCATTTTGGCTTAAAATTAAGTTATTTCTTCATGCATATATATATTTGAATTTAACAAATATTCTCTATTTGTAAAAAGCTAATTTAAATTAAAATTTAATTAAGAAATTTTTATTGCAAAAATAAAAAAACAAAAGATTAATTATTGCTGCGAAGTAATTTACAATATAATTTAAATTCTAAGAGCATAAGTAAGTTAAGTGCACATGTCTAAAACCATGAAAAATATAATATTTCAAAAAAAATTAATCGAGAAAAAATATTTTTAATGAATTTTTAAGACCAAATTAAATTACATAAGTGAATAATTGTTGAGCAGGCAGGAGACAGACTTATCAAGGGAAAGTTGCCTCCAAACCTAACTCTTCAATTACTCAATTTGTGTTTCATCATCCATATAGGCAAGGGTATAGTAAATTTCAAAACCAAAAGCAAAGCCAAATGTTGTGAATTACTAAAAAAGAAATTTAAACCAGTAGGAATTTTGAGAAATTTAGCAAGTAAATGACTAGGAATTAAACTATTAATTAAATGTCAAAATAATTAAGAGAGAAAAACCAAAGTAATTTAGAAACTCTTGCCTATTGAAAACTTCCCTTACATGAATATGCATGCAAACCTAAAATAAACTATATACAATCTATCAAAATATATAAATATTACTAAAAAGGCTGAGTAAATAGCAAGTTTTAATTTAATTTACCTAGAGCTACACATTTGAATTCCTGAGAGTGGATTAGCAATTGCAAAACTAAGTGAGGTTGAGTAGTTTGTACTGCTAGCTGTATCAATAGAGGATACAATGTAAAGTTGAGTGTTAAGCTGCTACCAATGAGAACTATTGTAAAAACCTACGCTGTAAACTTTAAGTAACGCAAAATGTATAATGCTTGTTTTGCGTGCAAAAATGTTGCTAACTTTCAGGCATTGTAAAAATGTGTAACAAATTTTAAACTGCATCTGTATGTGAAAATTGCTAAGGAAGTATAAATCCGAAAAAATGTTTTTGAAAAAAGTTGGCCTTTCGATAGCAAAAGAAAAGAATCCAGTATTGATTAAATATACATTTTTACAAATAATTAATTGACATTTACAAGTATAATCCTTTAACTCTTCAAAATCCTCCATTACCCTCCAGTTAAGGTAATATTATCAAAATTAAAAAGAAAAGTTAATGCCTGCCTTTTTGATATAGAAATTAATAAATTGTGTTGGGACCTGGTTATTAACTTGAGCATTAATTAGTTTTATTATTTCTTCCTTCAGGTTTTCTATTTCAGCACATATATTTTTGATTCTAATTATTTGGATATAAAAAGTGTTACCTATTACTTTTTTAGAGATATTAGATTTCCAATTCATTATTTAATAGTTTCAAACTGGAATGTCCTCCTTTTATCATATAATTTAATTTTGTTGTGTTTAATTATGAGCAGGTCTAGGTATTCAATATTATCTTGATTTGTATTAGTTTTATTAAGTGTTAAACTATCTGGGTATATTTTGAAGTGTTCAAAAGCAGAATTATTATTGAAAGTTATAATATCATCAATGTATCTAAATGTATTCGCAAATAACTTTAATTCATTCTTATTCAAACTTAGCAGGAATTTATATTCATTAGCAAAAAGAAATAGGTTACATATTTGTGTAGAACTGTTTGCTCCCATTGGAATTCCTTTCACCTGCTGAAGGATCTTATTATTGAATTTAATGCAGTTATTAAATAATGCACAAAGCAGGTAAATTTCTCACCTTTCAATTCAGATGATGCTTAGCATGTCAGGAAAAAGTTGTGGGAGTTGCATTAAACTAGTATAAATTTTGTCCAATGGTAGAGAAGTATAAATGTTTTCAAAGCAATAGCAGTTACCGTTCCTGATTTCTAAACTTTTAAATTTGTTGAGAACTGGAGCATTATTATAAATAATCCAACAATGGTTGTGTTGCTTGTTAACTAGTTGACGATGAATTAAAATACAGATTTTTTAAGTTTAATTGCAAATATGTAATCTATATTCTTTTTATAACTGTTTCTACCATTTGCTATAAATCTAAATTTGAATGGTGATTTATGAAATTTAGGAAGAGCATAAAGATTTGCCAATCTATTGTAGTTAGATAGTTGTGTAACTTGTAGTTTCTTATGAATTGCTTTAATTTTTTTTTTGCAATGACATTTTCTTGTGTATTGGTAAGTTTGTAAGTAATGGCATTACTCAGTTCAGTATCAACTAGTAAGACAAAAAAATTTTCAAATAATGCTGAAATTATTAGTGGCTTTATCAATTTTGGTGATCACGAATTTTTACTTCAAATCTTGTATTAGAGGATTGAGAAAATTCCATGGTAAATTGCTGTTAAATTCAATCCTTCGAACTCTTTGCTTCATTTCTTCTAACACTTCCTGTTTCCAAGCCATAAAGGCAGAATTTAGAATATTTAATTTGTAACTAGTTTTAACTATGAACTCAAGATTTCAAACTTCTAAAACCGTGATTTTTGTCAATTTTCAGTACTGGTCTAAATTTTGTTCCTTTTTTTCATTAAATTTCTTAAAAGCTGGTTCTGAACTATTGTTAAATTGCCAGCAATGATATGTGGCTCTAGTGAAGAATTGGGTGCCCCTTCGATTCACGACACTTTATTTTAAATTTTGGCGATGAAACCTCACTTTTGGTTACCATGATAGTTTTAACTTTGTTTTAGCTTCTTGATTTTATTTAAATGAAAATATATTGATGTATACATGGACAAATTTAAGGCAGTGCACAATGCCTAGTTTGTGCAATTCTGGGATGTTTTTTCCTAAGTGATAATAGATTGATGTATACATGGACACAGAGTTGTGCAATTCTTTGACCTCTTATTTTGGTTTTGTGTAGCGGCCATCATGAAATTGTACCTTCCTGGTGCCGATCTTGGCATAAAAAAAGAATCGCCAAAAAACAAGGGGCACCCAATAGTAAACTTTTATCCGATATGTTTATGAAATTCATTTGGGTTGTCTTTTGTAAGCTCTTTGCAGTATCAATAGAAGCTAGATCATGGTGGTTAATTAACAATTTGCTAAGAGGTTTTTGATACTTGAAAGCTGGTGAGATTTGTACTTTAGTAGCTGGAAAATGTTGTTGACATTTTCTGAAAATTTTGCTGAACTGAATACATACATGAATATATATGCTGAACGAAACTGTATATATATATATATATATAAATTCTACTTTAATTAAACTTAGAGGAGATATATAATCAATTAATCAATACTGTTTAGGAAATAAATTATATATTATATATATATATATATATACAAACACACACACTTAACTTTTATTTGAAGCTGTTAGACTCTATTAAAAAGATATAACAGCTTACTACAAGCAATAAATAAATAAGCTTACCTTATGACCATCATGATGGCACATTCTCACATGTCGACTAATTACATGCATCCCTAATTAAAAAAAAAAAAAATATTCATTTCAAAGATTAAAAAAATATTTCTAGAAATTCAGTGCATCATGCTTTCTTTAAATTTAGATAACAGTATTTTCACATTATTATTTGTGATTAAATGGTTCCTCAAAATCTGCTTTTCAAAAAACTGCTAATATACATTTTAAATAGCCTTTCTTGTAAATTAGCAGTAGATCACGGAGTAATAAATGCAGTTTAACTGCTATGCAAAAAACAGTACAACAGTTGTTATAATAGCCTACTCAGTGGTAAAAGTTTAAAAAAAAAATTACATTTTAGAATACACTCATTGCAAAAATAATTATCATACATCTATCATAATACTAAAATATCAGATTTTTTTTAAACGATTACTAAATCCTTAAGTAATAATATGCTAGTTCTAAGATTCTAAGAAATAAAGCAGATTAAATAAATATATTAAACTTCTATCAGATGTTTCAGAATTTTCTATATGCTGTAAAAGCCTGACTATCTGGCATTCAACAATTTCAGAATTTCAGGGAAAAAAATTTTCAAAGAAACATTTAGTAAATGAGAGAGATGTACCAGTATTATAAAGCTTGTAATGTTATTAATATGTATACACTGTTGCCAGATAAGGTGATTTAGCACCAATAATGAATAAGTATGATGTGACAACACAATATTATGAAGTTTGTTCCATTTTAATATAAATTCGATTAATTTTCGATAAGCTGGTTTAAGAAGGATTAAGTTCTATTTTTCCTCACATTTCCAAAAGTGATTAATATTTAAGATTGCATGAAGTGGAATATTTTCTAAGTTACTGGATCCGGCATCAACAAAAGCCACGATATGCGATTATGGACATGGATAAACAATGGTTATGTAATGTGAAAAATTATGAATAAGTCATTTAAGTTTTTTACATGCTACACCAATAATTTGTATCGCTTTATAATGTAACTTGATAAAGATCAGCATGTTTGTTTAAACTATTGCCAAAATCTTCGCCAGCTTTCATGTTCGGAGAGATTTCATAATTGGATCAAATGCTTTACTTTCATGTTTATGGCCTACGAAATACATCGGCTTTTATGTCTGAAATACATTCATTTATTCAAAATAATATATAATATCAAATGCAAGCTTTTGACATTCAAGTTGGTAACAAAGATTGATTGTTTTTATAATTTTACAGGAGAATTTTCCCCAAATGATTTGGTTTTTCTAACATGAATTCTCTTTTGGATATGCTCAACTATTAAGAATTTTCACATATCTGGAATTCGGCATTTCCTGAGCTTTATAGATAGTCAAACTTTTACTGTATTTCAATGAGAATGTTTTATTTTTCTATTTTCAATAATTACTGAATGCTTTTGCAATACACTTATAATACTGAACACACTCTGAACTGGAATAACAGGGAAGGCTATGCAAAAGTGTACACAGGTTTGCTAAACTTTTGTCTGAACATCCTTAATGTCTCAAACCAAGCATATTTGTTAATCTAATTAATTAAATGAATTTTTTAGATGACTCTACCAAATTAAAGTGCATTTTAGAAATATATGTAGAAGAAAATCATGTATTAGGAAATTAAGTATGGAATTGCACCGGAAAGAATGTACATAAAATACTCAGTGTCTACCAAAAACCAACTTCAAATTTACTGATTAGTCACAAAATATTGATATCTGCTAGTCGTGAAAGTGATTCTTTGCTATATCTCAGCTTAATTCTTCACTAAATTTTTATAAGAGTTATTCTTTATTTCAATTCATAAATTAAAATGAGAATTTCAAATTAATAAGAAAAAATAATAAATTAAAAATGCAAAATTATTCAGTGCCCCTTATAAAATTATTCAGTGCCAAGTAAT